CGTGTGTGTGTGTGTGTGTGTGTGTGTGTGTGTGTGTGTGTGTGTGTGTGTGTGTGTGTATGTGTGTGTGTTAATGTGTAAGGGGAGAGGAAGGGGGATGTGGCTTGTGTGACAACGGGTAAAGCATGTTACTTGTTGTGGTAAAGTGACACCGTACCTGTGATCTGCTTCAAGAAACGCTTCCACAAACTCCTGCAGTGGGACCGGGTCAAGGAAGTGAAATAACGAGACACGAACACACACAAAATCATGCCGCATGCACAAAGGTGAAAATGTGCATGTAAACGCATGCATGGCACACACGCCTGCGCGTGCGCACACACACACACACACACACACACACACACATGCATGCACACACACATACGCACGCACGCATGCACATTCAACGGCACCTTGTCAATCTGAAAGATGCCAGTGTCGAGGTACTGTACAAAGAGCGGACGGGGAAGGACATCAAAGCCGAGGCGGGCGAGCGTCGCGTGCAGGCGTTCGGGCACAGGAAACTGCAGCTGCTTGAGCACAAACAGCGTCTTCTCCAAGAGGTTGAAGATGGCCGGGTGGCATGTGGGGCTGCACTGCTTCTCAAGCGCCTCGCACGCGTTCACAATGTGATTTGTGCGCACCTGCAGTGCATACAAGTACTGCTTCTTCTGTGTCTCCAGCGCAGCGTCCTTCGGCTCGTCACGAAGATGCCACATGAGCGCCCTGACGGAGGAATGAAGTAATGTAGGGATGGGAGTGGTGGGAATGATAGAGTGATGAAGTGGGGGCAGTGGCGGGTAGTGAGAGAGGCATGGAAAAAGGAAAGGGGTGAGGGGAAGAGAGACAATGTGCGCGTGCGCGCGCATGAACTTGCACATGAACTCGCATGTGTGCGCGCCATATAAGTGGACACATCTGCGCGTCAGGCACCACACCTCTCGTGGAATGGGAGGGCTGCTGGTGGAAGGGCAGGTTCCTGCAATGAGCGGAACACCGCACAGTGACATTGGTGGGGTGCGAGCGTCAGCACTGTCACGAATGCTGCCGCATCGTGTGGCAATGTACCAACCACTCACGAACACAAACACGCACACAAAATGAACGCTGGCAGCCCAACTGCATGCATGTGCACATCCTCTTCACCTGCTGTGCGGCCCCCTGTGCTGAGCGGCGGGACTTGAAGAAGCTCTGATTGTTTTTTTTTTTTTTTTTTGGGGGGGGGGGGGTTGTAACCGGCAGTGTGAGCGAGAGGGAAGCGGCACGAGCATCAAATGCTCAAACGCAAGTTGACAGCACGTGTGTGTGTGTGTGTGTGTGTGTGTGTGTGTGTGTGTTCTGTGTGAGTGTGTGTGTGTGTGTCAGCGTGGGAGTACACGTGGAAGGTGCGTGTGGTGTCTGCTGCATGGTGGCGAGCTCACTTGAGGAGGAGGGAGCAGATGGCTTTTCGACTCAGCGCGACGGGAATGGGAAACTCGAGGTCACTGGTAACAATCAGCGCTGGCGTGTGGGGAACGCAAGGAAACGGTGAGCAGTGCAGGGGGGGGGGGCAGGAATGGGTCGTGAGTTGAGTATGCCGTGTGTGAGGGACGGCGGAAAGTGATGCGGCCGCGCATATGAACACATGTGCACGACTACACGTGCACTCAACGCCACGCATGAATGCAATGTCAAGCAACACCACACACACACACACACATACACATATAAACATACGCACGCATACATACATACATGCACACATACGCACGCACGCACGCACGCACACACACACACACAAACAAACACACACACACACACACACACACACAAAACACCACCTTGCGTGGTTGACTTCTTCATGCGGATGGAGTATGCGTTGTGGAGTTGGGCGTCGAGGAGAGGATCACAGGGGAGCGCAAACGGCTCGAGCGGCTCGTGCTTGCTGCCACAGTTCCAGTAGTGCACCGCACAGCCAGGCAACACGGCAAGCACATAGTCGTCTGGTGTGGCGACACGGGGGCGCGCGAAACGAGAAAGGAACGGCGTGGGGTTGGTGGAAGGAGGAGGTGCGGGAGAGGAACAGGAACACGCACAAGTGCAGCAAGTGCAGTACGTGCAGAAGATGCAGTAAGTGCAGCACACACACACACATGTACAGAACACACAAGTGAAGCGCACACAGCACACGCGTACGCAGGAATACGCACAAATAGACACACAAGTGAAGCAAGCGCATACGTACGCAGGAACCCCTTCCACACACACACACACACACACACACACACACACACACACACACACACACACACACACACACACACACACACACACACACACACACACACACACACACACACACACACCGAGCGCAACTCACTCAAGCCGAGGAAGATCATGCGTGAGAGCTGCTGGGATGCCGGATCGACGTCAAAGCCCGAGGAGAGGACGCACTGCCAATGTGCGCAGTAGACGGCGTAGCGGTGGTGGTCCTGCACTGCAAGGCACAGTGCACCGTGACCCAGGTCCACCACCTGGATTGCTGCGTGCTCGAACAGCGACGCGTCGCACGCCGGGGTGTGGCTGAATGGCCCGCTAATGGCCACCTGCAGATGCGAAGAGATGCAGTCCGGCAGGCGTAGGGAGACGGTGCGCTGCAGCTGCCCATATGTGCAATGGACGGCGGAGAAGTGAAACTCCACCTCCGGTGATTCCCCAGCAGGCAGCGTGCCGTCGTTCGTTGGGAACATCTCGTCATCTCCATTTCGACCGTCACCGCCGCCTTCATCGTCGTCGTCGTCACCAACGCCACTGCTACCGCCACTGCGAAGGAGGTGCGTCTCCGGGTCGCAGCACTCGATGCAGTAGAACATGTTGGTTGGCCGATCAAACTGGTACCACAAGACGTTGCGGTCGTATTCCCATGGGGACGCGAGTTTTTCAAAGTCGATGATGGGCTCCCCAAGCTCGTCCAGGTCGGAGAAGATGTTGTACACCCACAGGTTGGAGGAGCTGTCGCTGGCGTTTGAGCTGGACCTGGTCGGGTCTGTGTTGGCGCACAGCGAGTTGGTGAGGTGGGTGACGACAAGCGAGTCGCAGCCGTGCGAGGCTTCCATAAAGTGGAGGTTCACGTATGCGTGTTGGGACGTGGTCCACTTGCACTCATCCACATCGAATTCCTCCATGTGGGTGCCCAGGCTGATGAGTTTGAAGAAATGGTCTTGTCGCAACTCATCGGCGAGCCCGAATGCAAGCAGCGTCTGGCGCGTGTTCATTGATGCCGACGTCACCCGCCAGTGGTTGACTGTGCGCGTGTGGATGTTGGGGCGAGGCGGAAGACGTTGGAGAAGGGAGAGGTGGGTGGTTGTGTGTGTGTGTGTGTGTGAGCATGTGTGGGTGTAAGCGTGGGGAGGTAAAGATGTGGGTGGATGAGGGTGGCTACACACACACGCATACACCCACACACACACACACACACACACACACACACACCACACACACACACACACACACACACACACACACACACACACACACATACACGCATACAAGCGCGCGCGCACACACACACATACACATATGCATACGCATACAAATACGCATACAAACGCACACACGCATGGCGTGGACGAATACCTGAGATCAGGCGACGCAGGTATTCGTCTCCTCGCCAATAGAAGAGATCGGTCGTGTCGTCACTGCGGGAGGTGACCGCAACAATGCAGCCCACATCACAGAACGAGAGGATGCGCACCGTGTCCCCTGCAGCCTCATCAATATGCACCGTTTCTTCGAGCACCATTCGCAGAGACGCCTCTGACAGCGTCTGCTGTTGCTGTTGCTGTTGCTGCTGCTGGTGGTGGTGGTGGAGGTGGAGCTGATGGTAGAAGGAGTTGTCACGGCTCGCAGGACCACCGCCATCTTCATGGCCTCCAACTCCCACTTGCTCCAGCATTGTTGTTGTGTGTTCGGTTGTTGGTTGTTTTGGTTGTTGGTTGTTGTTGGAGTGGCGCACAGTCACAGGAAATGCAGTTTGTGGTGTTTTGTTGTTTCGTGGTTGGGTGACGGCGACGAACGGAACGAACAGACAGGGAGGAAGGAAGGCGACGACAGACAAACGCACACGCGCGCGCGCACACACACACACACACACACACACACACACACACACACACACACACATTCACACACAGACACACAGACGAAGGAAAGCGCATGGAAAGAAAGCACAGGGTGAAAAGACGAACATAAGGGCACAAACACGAACCAAAACAAAACAACAGGAACGGAGGCAAACAAGGTGTGGGAGGACACACACACAGAACACACACACACACATCAGAAGATCGGAGGCACAGACCAGGGGAAACTGGCCATCATTGGCAAGGTCAGGCTTCAAAAAAGAGCACGGCACGAACAAGCGCTTGATCCATCTGATCAATAACAATCTCGGCAACCGGAGCATTCTGCTGAGACCACTGCGAGTCCGGGAGTGGTGAGCCACCTTTTCCCACCACCACGACATGTGCATCATGTCCTGCCTGAAGCATCTTGCCTTCAAACCCGGCGCGCCTCAGCACAGGGTAAGGGTTCGCGTACTGGATATCACAAGCTAGCACGATGTGGTATCGCTTGTGGGGACTCAGGCGCAGGGACGGAAAGTGCCCATGATGAAACGAAGCTCCCCCGGCGTACTGCAGGGCGTAGTCAAGATCTGGGGTGAAGTAGATGCCAGCTCCAAACCATCCAGAATCAGTCGTCTGCAGTCGAGCAAAGCCGCCAGTGGAGATGCTCTTTGCGGCGTCAATAGACCGCACGCCGTGGAAGACACGTTGAATGCGCACAGGAGGGTCGTCTTTGGCCAAACTTGAGTCCAGCATGTTGTAGTGAACGCCAGGCATCGTGACGCGTTGCAGTACTTGGTCTAGTTTTGGGTCTGTGGGACGCTGACCGTGGAAAGTATACTTTGGCGCGAACTTGTGGCCCTTGGTTGATAGAAACCCTTTGTAACGGGTCTTCCGCTTCTTCAATGCCGAATAGAACGCCGGGTCGTCACCCCAGAAAATGCTAACACCTGCGAGGGTCTGACGGAAGGGGCGGAGCGGGGCCTCATTCGCCGTGGGCCCGCCGGCTTCCTCCAGTAACTGCAGAGCACAGAGGCGCCATCGGTGGTGGGAAAGGGGGCGAGGTATGTAAGCACAAGCGTTGGAAACAGAGATATGTGGGTTCATTGATGGTGTGCAAGATCATGTGCATGTGACTAGTCTTTATGATCAGCGGAAGCATTGCATCCAGCGTGTGCACGGGTCTTACCTTTAGCACTACTTCTTTGTGAGCTGGCAGATCCAGGTCCAGCGCAGCGAATTGCGTGTTTCCTGCTTTGATCGCGCTATCTTCCAAGCTTAGCAGCAATCGCGTTGGGAATTTCCACGGCGCATCATCGGGGCCGGACACGTCCGCAAGCTGCTTCTTCAGCTCGGAATGCTCCGCTCGGTTCGTTGCAGCCTCAGAATAGGTCTCTTGGGTGACTCGCTCGCTGGGAACATCGCGAGCACGACGTTTCAGTCGCTCGATGCTTCTCATGACCTCGGCCTTATCACCATGCAACACAGTCACCTGGCTCTTGTAGTTAGGACAGCGCGTCTTGTTCGGCTGGCGGCGAAAATCGAGCTTCACACACGGAAATTGCTTGTCTGATTGGTCGTCGTAAGGCTTCTCGTAGTATGAGCCAAGCGACCGTGCCCCACAGTGCACGCAGTGAACGTCTTGGACGGAGCAATCCTTCGCCGGATTCGGCCAGGGGCGCCCGTAGGGCTTGATCGTGTCAGGCATGCCTTTGCTCCAAATGCAGCCGCTGTTGAACTTGTGGATCTGGTCTGGGCTAAGCAGAATCTCGTTACAGCCGTAGCATGCAATGCTAATGTTCTGAATCTCTGCCCCAGGCTCGGTGTCGGGAAGGCTGCCAAGCCTTTGCCACGGTTGAATCTTCACACCCTTTTTTGTTTGGATGGGAATATCAAGCACAGTCCATCCCTTCTTGTCCAGTAAAGCAACAACGTCGACGACCTTGCCCGAATCCAGGTTGTGCTTGCCAACCCAGAACTTGTTGAAGAAGAACTTGTGGGGATCTTCTGGCTCGACAGCAACCCCAAAGGCGATGATGTCGCCTGCCTTTGACTTTGCCAAGTTCTCCACTTGAACTTTGAACTTCTGAGGACCCGGCATTGCTGAACGTCCCTTGTGGTCAGACGTTGTGTGTGTGTGTGTGCAGTGTGTGCACAGTGTGTGTGTGTGTGTGTGCACAGTGTGTGTGTGTGTGTGTGTGTGTGTGTGTGTGTGTGTGTGTGTGTGTGTGTGTGTGTGTGTGTGTGTGTGTGTGTGTGTGTGTGTGTGTGTGTGTGCAGTGTGTTTGGTGTGGTGGCAGGCGATCGCAGGAAAATGACTGACAGCTGCTCTTGCTGCTGTCCGCAATCCGTGCACTCCAAACGGTTGAGATGCGATGTGTGATGTGACACCTCCAAAACAAACTGAATTCTGCCCACTAAATTTTCGACAGACACGTTTACGAGTGTCCCGCAACGCGCCCTGTTGTTCTGGTCTGAAGTTCCACACACACACACACACACACACACACGCACACACACACACACACACGCACACACACACACACACACACACACACACATACACACACAGACACACACACACAGAGGTGGGTTGGTCGATCATGGCTTGTCTGGCAAGCGTACGACACCAACACTGTCGCAAGGTCGACCACTGAGACCAATAAAATGCCAAGAATTGGTTGTATTGGTGGGCTTCAAACAGAATGGAAGCAGCAGCACACATTTAAGACAACACGACATTGAAACACAACAGCCACACAGACAACACATCACTCACACACACACACACACACAACACATCAACACATCAACCACACACACACACACAGACACACACACGCACGCGCACACAACCAACCACACAGACAACCCCAACAGGAGGAGGAGGAGGATCTACAGGTCGAGCGGGTCGTCGTCGTCGGCGTCCTCATCAAAGGCGTCGTTGTTGTCAAAGTGGCTGCTGACAACAGACATGGGCATGAACGCCACCTGCCTGCTCCTGCGGCGCCAGTAGAGGAAGTAGAATGCAGCGCCGCCGCCAACCAACAGCAGCGGGATGAGCACGCCAGCGGCAACGGCGCCCGTGTTTGCGCCGTGCTTGGATGACCGCCCGTTGGGGCTCGTGCAATTGCCCTTGATGTCGCCGCACAGGCCGCTGTTGGCCGTGAAGAACGTGAACGACGTCCGGCACACGCCCTGGACCTGCGTGTGTGTATGTGATGGTTGTGTGAATGTGCATGAATGTGTGTATGTGTGTGTGATGGTTGTGTGAATGTGTGTGTGTGTGTGAGTAAAATGTGTACAGTTGCAGGCAAGCATGGCTTTTGTGCGCAAGTAGGCACGACGTCATGCGCTCACCAAACCAAAAGCAAAAAGTTTGACCACCCACCACCACCACAACAACCACCCCACCCCCTCCCTTCACCTTCATCCGCCTCCACTCCACGCACCGATTGCGGGATGAGTTCATCGGGTTCGCACGGGCGGCAGACGAAGCGAATCTCGGCCGAGTACGGCGTGTGGGGGCTGTAAGGGCAGTCGCTGCCGTTGCGGTACACGAGATAGACAAGGCCCTCTCGAACCATCAGGTGTCCATTGGCCTTGCCCAGCGACACGTGGCTGCCGCCGTTGCGTGTCATGCACAGCTGTGGTTGCAGATGGAGCATGTCCATGTACATGTGTGTGTGTGTTTGGGGGAATGGATGCGTGAGTTTGATGAAGCATGTTGGACTTGCAGTTGACAGTACAGGGAAAGCAGACAGCTATTGGAAGGGAGTGAATTTGGAGCACAGCGAAACACAGAAGATGGACAAACAAACAAACAAACAAACAAACAAACAAACAAACAAACAAACAAACAAACAAACAAACAAACAAACAAACAAACAAACAATCACACAAGCACGCACCCCCGAGTCTGCGTCGCCGGCACAGCCACCGCCGAGGGCGGAGCAGAGGCCAAACTTGTATGACGCCATGTCGTCGGTGGCAGTCAGGGAGGACGCATCAATGTCATTGAGATCAAACGTCGTGTCCGTGGCAGGATCCTGCGGCGCGCGCGGGCGCGGGGGTTGGTCGGTGGATGGGAAGATCATTTGCATGAGAATGACGTGGAGTCACAGTCATACATGATAACGCACAGTCATACATGAAAATGCACAACCCACCAACAACGTTGATGGCATGCACAAAAAAAAAACAAAAAACCAAAAAAAAAAAAAAACACATCACACAAAGCAGCAACACACCCCAGCACCTTCAACGCCCTCCCCCACCCACACACCCCACGCCCCTCCTCCGTTCTTCCGTGGTGCAGAGACGGTACCGTGACGGCGCAGGAGTCGCCGACGGAGGGCGCGCGAACGGGACAGGCCGCCGATGACGCCCACGTGAACATGTACTCGCACAGATCATCGTCCTCAGACACGTACACGGGCTGCCCAAGCCCAGCTGTCTCGTCGCAGGTGAACTCGATGCGCGTGCGGCGGTACTTGCCCCACGGGCAGCGATCGCTGTCGCCATTGGTGTACTCGATCACAAGCGTGCCGTTCTGTAGAGCAGGGTCACAAATGGTGGCAATGGTGGTGATGGTGGGAAGTGGAGAGGTGGCGGTGAGCATGTCGTGTGCGCGTGGTTTGTGTTGTAGTTGGTCGTTCGTTGCGAAGAGTGAAGCAAGCGTCTCTGAGGGAATGAAATGAACGCACACACAACCACAGAGGCATACACACACACACACACACAAGAGACATACACACACAAGCACAGCACACACACACACACACACACACACACACACACATACACACACTTACAGACACACGCACCTCGATGGATGGGGAGGCGACGCCGCCGAGGTTGTAGCGGTTGTCGCCCTCAATCTGACACACACCCGCCGTCTCATCACAGCCGGTCGGTGGAACCTGGCAGTTTGCATGGCGATGACAAGGTCGTGAACACGCATGCAGACCAATGCGACACGCACGAGCTGTTGGGTACAAATTACACGAACTGGAAAAAAAAATTGCAATCACCAACCAAATAAAGGACGAAACACACACACGCGCACACAGACAGACAGACAGACAGACAGACAGACAGACACAGACACACAGACCCCCCGCTCATCTACAGACCAAAAGCACACAGCGCACCTGCTCGTTGAGGGAGTGGCAGACGTTGAGGATGTATTCAAACTTGTGCTTCTTGTCTTTCACGTCCACAATCCAGTTGGAGTGCGACTCTGCCGCCTTTTCCAGTGGCGACAGGTCGTACGCAGCGCCCGTGTCCGGGTCCGTCACCACACACGACGCCTCACGTCGGCGCCGGCACGCGCGGTCTGTGGGGATGATCACGTATGTGTTGCAGTCGTAGACGCGGTATTGCGTCGTGTTGGCCCTGATGTCGTCCGGGCACACAAACGTGAGGATGGTGGTCATGTTTGCGCTCGAATCCTCCAGGCACTTTGCGCCGTTGTTGTACGTGAGTCGCAGCTCGTTGTCTGCAAACGTCAGCGCCTGGGACGTGCTGCCAATGTTGATGCGGTCGCCCTTCTCCGAGATGAGGCACGCGCCGGCGCCGTCGCAGTTGGGGACCACGCCGCACACGGCAATCAGCAGCTGCGCGGTGCTGTCTGGTACGTCAATCTCAATCACGCCCGTCTCGCTCGCCCAGTTGCGCAGGTTGAACGTGAGCAGCGAGATGGGGTCGGTGACCTCGCACTGGCTGCCAACCGTTGTCCACGTGCTGCACGCAGCAGACGTCTCCCACACAAAGTAGTAGTGGCACGTCTCGTCCTCATAGTCGAACATGGGCGAGCCCAGCGTGCCGGGGAGGCAGCTGAAGGTGATGGTGGCCTTGCGACGGTTGGAGCCGCAGTTGTCTGGCGCGAGACTGTCCATGGTGTACGTGAGCTC